ATCTATCTATCTATCTATCTATCTATCTATCTATCTATCTATCTATCAGAAATACTGCAAAACCTCTGTGGCATAGCCACTTGAAGTAGAAAACTGAAGTTAAAATAAACTTCAGAATCTAGCAGTTCCAAGCCCACCAAATGATACCCAAACGCTTCAGTTTTTGTGACATCAGCAAATGTGGGAGCCGAAGGTCCCTCCACACAATTATTACTTTTTTTCCCATCCTCCTTGAATTCTGTGATGGTTCACGTTAAACATGCACGGGGCTGTCCCAAAACATCATGATGCTTCAGGGAACTGCCTGTGCGTGCATGATCCCCCCCACCCCACACCTTCTGTAATCGTAACTGTCTTCTGACTGAAGTGTTTGAAAATATCAGCCACACAGGAGAAGCTGCTGGCGAGCCTTTTGCTTTGTTTTGCTGTAATGACGTAGGCAACGTGTGTGCATGTATGTGTGTGTGAGAGAGAGAAAAAGAGAGAGAGAGAGAGAGGAGAGAGGGAGGGTGAGAGGGAGAGAGAAACAGAAAGACAGAGAGGAAGGGAAAATGGAGGGAAAGAAACAAATTACTTGCAATTCTAGAATGGAAGTCATACGCATGGCTATGCAAAGAGCCCCCTCCCCCCAAGGAATAATTAACTCCGGGGTCTAAAATCATTCAATTGTCCCAACAATAGTTGTCCAAATTGCTGCTCCAATTTTGGCCTTACAGATGGGGCTAAGGGGCTAAGACTCCCCCCCCCTCAACTCTACGAGGACTTCAGCAGACAGACAAGAAGCAACGGATGGAAACATATCAAAGAGAGAAGCAACCTGGAATTAAGAAGAAATTTCCTGACAGAACAATTAACCTGTGGAACAGCTTGCCTCTGGAAATTGTGAATGCTCCAACACTGGAGGTTTTTAAAGAAAAGATTGGACAAGCGTTTGCCTAAAATAGTAGAGGGCTTCCTGCCTGAGCAGGGGGTTGGACTAGAAGACCTCCAAGGTCCCTTACAACTCTGTTATTCTGTTATGTATTGTGAAAGCAGCCTTCCCCTGACCTACATCCAGAGCAGCTGCAGAGATTATACGGAGCAGCTCCCCATGTTGCAATGGGGGTGGGGGAGAGAGGACGGGATGTTGTGTGTTCCCTGCCCGTCAAAATAGCCTCCCACATCTTGTCTCCCATGAGACAAGAAGCTGATAGCCACTCAGGAGAACGAGGTTATTATTGGAGTGGGGGGGGCGGGGCAGGGAGGTTAGCCAAGCGACGTCTGAGCAGCAGGGCAGCAAGACCTGGCCTTGAATTGGGGCAACCAGTCAGGTCTGCAGAATTTGTAAGGAGGGCTGAGCAGAGCCAAAACATGGTGCGGAGCAGTCGTTGCTGGAGAGGGGCTCCAAGGGAGGGCATTGCTAATTTGGAGAATAGGGCCAACAACCCAATTCGGGTCTGAGCCTGGTGCCAAAGCCAAGAACAGACACCAGACACGAGGTGCAGGTTTGCTGATTGCTTTTTATTGGAGTACTCCAAGGAAAAGGGCTTCTGGTCAAAATGCCAAGAGCCAAGAACAAAGGATTGAGCAAGTTGTACACATTTTCTCTAAAGGAGAAGGTGGGACAAAGCGAGATAATAAGAAATATCATGTA